TTCCTGCTTTCATTGAAAGTCGGACCGGGAGATGTTTGTGGTTCCCCAAAGCCCTGAGATTTGGGGGTCTGAGGCTTGGGGAGGAAGCTGGAGAACCCCCATACAAATGACTCTTGACTCTTCCAGGGATAAGAGTCCCCAGACTACCTCGCTCACCATTCAGATCCTCATTCTGGACAGTCCAGGGCTCGGCAGAGTCAAAGTGGGTGTCCCCTCCAATGTTGGGGCCTGGGAAGTAGGCATGGGCCAGGAAACCGCCCTCGCCATCGAAAGGCGTGCTGTCACCGTGGAAACCCTCAGCAAAGAAGATCATGATGTCGGCCTGCTTCTCATGGCCCTCACGGATGTAGGCATAGGGTACCTCTCGGAAGTGCAGCGGCGTGGCACTCTCCCACACACGGAACGCCTTGCGGATGGCCTCGAATGTGGCATACTCCCCCACCTTGGGGGTGTAGTTCTGGATGCTGAGATCCAGCCACGTGGGGAGAGGATGGGAGTGCGTTAGGACAACAAGGAGCAGAACTCCTTCCCTGTACTCTCCCAGGTCTGACTGAGCCGTCCAGCCACCTTTGTCTGACCCAGCTCTTCCCGCCGCCTTACGATGCCTCTGTCCCAAGAACTGAGGGCTTTCTGGCCCTGGGATATACCTTCAACCGGCTGCACCCCTCTCCAGGATGAGAGCCATTTTCCTCCCTACCCCCGAGGATGCTTCTCAGGAACAAGGGTGAGTAGGGAAGGGAGCCTCAGGGTCTCTAAGCACCACTGATAGGGAAGGGTGACCTGATGTGAGAAAGGCCACTTGCCTGTTGGACTCACCAGAAAGTGATCTCGTTATGCTGCCATTTGAGGCCCTGGATGGCATAGCGCTTCCTTCGAACATTGGCCTTGATCTCAGCCCCAAACTTGTCTGGAACACCACAGCGGGGGCGCCTCATGGCCCTGGGGTGTGAGGATTGTGGTCAGGAGAGCGTATGAAAGAGAAAGGTCTTCAGAGGAGAGGGGGAATATCCGGCCCCAGGGTCAGTGTGGGGAAGAGACAAGGTCATGAGGTCTGGATGAACAGGAGAGGGTCGGGATCAGCTTGTGGGGATGAGGTGTGGGGGTGGAATCAGGCATTCAGGTGGCAGCCTCTCTGGTATTCAGTGTTGTGTTGGTGGGTGCTGGGCAGAATTCCTGCCAGGGTCTAGCACTTACTTCATGGTGTCTGCATCAGCCTTGCCTGTCACTCGCAGACCGTAGAACCTCTGCATGGCAGCGATGGCAGCTGAGAGTGACTGAGGCGAGCGCTGTGTGTGGGTACGCAGGTCCCCAGGGGGCAGGTAGCCATACTGCTGCAGCCAGGCCTGTAGGGAA